CACTGCAGGGGGATGTCTTTCTGTATGCTATGAATATGTGTGGCTCCCATTGATTAATAAATAAAGCTGCATTAGCAGGGCAGAATGGAGCCAGGTGGGAAAATCCAAGAGAGATAGAGAAGAAAGTTGGAGTGAGGCAGATGCTCCGAGATGTCACCAGGAGAAGCAAGATGTGAGCAGACAGGTAATGCCAGGAAGCCATGTGGCAAAACATAGATTAATAGGAATGGGTTGAGTTAAGATGTAAGAGCTAGCCTGCAAGAAGCCTGAGCCATAGACCAAACAGTTTGTAATTAATATAAGCCTCTGAATGATTATTATAAAAGCAGCTGTGAGAGCACTCATGGAAGAGATAGGTCTGGACCGGGGGGCTAGGCGGGACAGAGAAACTTCTGTCTACAGTACACATTGCCAATACTATCGTCCCATTTCACAGAAGAGATAAGTGTGCTGAGCACTTGAGTGCACAGGATCAATGCTCCCAGCCAGTGAGGAGGAGAGCAAGGACTTCAGTGGACTGTCAGCCTAGAAAACAAGCCAGATCTTCCAGGAACTGCCTGCAGACATTACACTCTTGCCTGCAATTTAAGATTAAATTAGTTAACCCATGCAAAAGCACTTAAGCCCGGTCTTGGCACCTGTTAGGTTTCACATAAATGCTAATACGATGATCATCTTCATCAGCTCCTCCTGGGAAAAGTGTCTATGGACCACGATGGGAATTAGTCTTTCCATCCCAGTCTACCCTGGTAATGCTGAAGTACCGCTCACTCTCTGAGATCCCTAGGGAGTCATAGAGTGTTGAGTTGGGAGGGATAGTAAAGATGACCTCATCCTGGGCCCGCATTTACAGATAGAGAAACTGAGATCCTGAGAGGGTTAAAGCCAGAACGTAAACCCACAGCAGGACCAGAACAAGGGCAAGGCAGAGGCATGCTGCCCGGCCCAGATGCCTCCTGTAAAGATAGTTTTCTTAACTAAAGCGGCAGCTAACCTCTAAAAGGCTACAGGGAATAACGTATTCACTCCCTAGCCGTGGGCTTCTAGGCCCCCTCCAAACCCTTAAAGCATTATAAGCCACTAACCAGAAAAAAGAACATGTGACAGAATTCCACCTCAGCTAAAGGGCTTAAAATGCTTGGGTGAGTAGCTAGAGATTCATAAATACACACTTCAGCTGCTTCTCAAAAAATCATTAACCAACTCCATCAAGACTGCAACTTGAGCAACCAACGAGAAAAAGTTGGTAGAGACATTCCTTGAAGGAATTTTACCCCGCCCCGAGTGTGACTTGGTGCCACCTCCGGGTTTTCAAGTCCCCTCCCCCTTCTCTAAGAGGTGGAGGAAGATCATTAGGCCAAACGTTAATTTAAAAAAATAATCGTGGAAATTTACAAAGTGCTTCCGTCACACAAGGTGGATTTCTAAAGAATTTAACAGTGTTTGTAGTTTGGGCTTGTGCGGGGGCACACGTGCGTGAATAAGGGTGCATGTGCCTGCGCAGGTCACAGACAGCTTCAAGAGTCATACCTCAAGTGCTGGCCACCTTTTTTTTTGATCTGGAACTTGCCAAATGGGCTAGGCTGGCTGGGCAGTGAGCAAGGTGCAAGGATCCTCCTGCCTGTGCCTCCCTAGTGCCAGATTGCGAGCATGTACCACCACAACCTGAGATATATATATATATACTTTTTTCCCACATGAGTTCTGGTTCTGGGGATGGAACACAGTTCCCTGTGCTTCCAAACAAACCATGCTAGACTGTTTTTTGGGGTGTGTGTGTGTGTGTGTGTGTGTGTGTGTGTGTATTTACATTTATCTTGTGGGGGTGTAGTGTGGGGGTGTACACATGCCACAGCATTTGTGTGGAGGTCAGAGGACAACTTGTGGGAGTCTGTTTCCGTGGGTTCCAGGATGGAACTCAGGCTGTCTGTCAGACTTTGTGGTACCACATCAGCCATCTTGCTGGCTGGCTTGGAACTTGTTACGTAGAACATGCTGGCCTTGAACTCAAGACACTCACCTGCCTCGGCCTCCTACATGCTGGGAGTAAAGGCATGTACCACCTCACCAGGTCCAGCCCTTATTTTTAAAGACAGAGTCTCGATCTGTAGACCACATTGGCCTTGGATTTAGGCAAGCCACCTGCCTGAGCCACCAAGCCAGGCTGTTTATAATGTAAAAGAAGGACCATGTTGGGAGAGGATAAAGTGAAACTCTAACCCTCGCCTGAGCTGTCTCAGGGTTGGGATGGCGCTGTGTGGGTGTGGAGCTCTGGTGACCCACTCCAGACTCATGATCTGAGGAGCCTGTAATTTATGGAGCTGGGTCAGTCACTTCACTTATCTCTCAACCCACTGAGCACTAATTCTCGCAGCTTCTCATGCCCCATGTCAGTCTGGATCAGCTCTGGCTTGAGGATTTGGGGGCAGGGAGAGAAGAGAAATGAGGTTAGGATCAGTCTGTAACCCTGAAAGGCAGGAGTTAAGACCTAATCCACACAGTTTCTCTGGTCTTCAGGCTTCTCAAGCAAACTGACAAGGTTCCCCTCCCCCACAATACCTTTATCAAACCCAAACTATTTTCTACATTCCTTCCTTCCACAGCCCTGGCTCACAGCAGATCTGCCTGAGCGATCCAGGAAGCTCTGGCCTGGCCCTCCCTTCTAGAAAGGAAAGTCCAGGTAGAGAGGGATGCCACACCCGGGGGGATGGGAGGACGGATGTGACGGCAGCTCCAGGAATGCGGGGCCCACGCAGGTGCCCACGTTGGCACCCGTGAGCTTCCTCCTCAGAGCCACTGATAAAGCAATCCCGATAACAGTGATAGCAGCCACCCCAGTCATTATTCACGCGGAGCCGGGGCCACACAGTTCTCAAGGCGTGGCCCTGCTCAGGGCAGAGGCAGGAGAAAGCTGAGATTGGAGGTCCGCAAAGGTGGACATGTTTCCTAGCACACCCCACAGATCCACGGGCACCTGGGAACCTTGCTAGGGGATTTCCCAAAGTCAGACTGTCCTCATGATTCTAAGGTGTCACTTCTCACCTTCCTCATCCCAGGAGCAAATGAAGTTTTCCAGAAGGGACATGACAAATTATGACATCATCTTTGACTGCTTGAAATGCATATTGTGTATTGTTTTAAACCAGTTTTGTCTTTAATTCCAATACAATAAATACGCATAGACATACACAGACTTTGAGGTTCCTCATCATGTTTAGTTAGTTAAAGGGGTCTTGGGACCCAAACAGCTCCAACTGCCGCGCTGATGCTGTTAGCAGGATTCTAGGCTTGTGGTTCCCCTCACAACGAATTTCATTTCCACCAGGGCTCCAATCACATAGGGATTGGTGGGGATCATAGCCTTGTGATTCAGCTTGGGATAGTCTCTCTCCATTCAGTGCTCCCACCCCCAAATGGCCAGGGAAACCTTAGAGTCATCTACCAACCTCTGGTGAGCTGATTTGTTCAAGGGAAAGAGGCTTCTCATCTTTGAAGGTATAGAGTGTAGCCTGGAGAAGCCACACACTTGGGCCTCTGTCTCCAAAGACATACCTGAGAACACACCAGGAGACTGACCCTGGGACTTCAGTTTAGCAAAGCAAGGGTATCCTCGCCTTTGGAAAGCTTTTATTGTACAGAGTTGCTCAAAACTCACATGCACAAAGGAAAGTAAGAAAACTGGGCCCCATCCCAGAGGAAAAGGGCAGACGCGCTCTGCGGCAAAAGGGGAGGGGACGGACGGACAGACAGAAGGAAAGCCCTCTGATGAACTTTTTAACCTTCAGCCTGTCCTGGCTCCCAGGATGGAGCCCTCTCGGGGAGGTGGGTGCAGAGGGTCTCTTGACCTTCACTTTGCTCCTAGCTTCAGCAGGGCCAACAAAACAGGTAAACAAAACAGGGAAGAGGCGGGAGTCCCAGTGTGGGGCACTCAGAGAGTAGGACTTGGTGTTGTGTTACCCCGGGACACAGCTTGGTCACTGGGGGAACAGAACACAACCCAGGGGCTGGCGTTGGTACAAACAGTAAAGGGCCAAGAAATGGATCCATGGAGAGAAGACGTCAGTCCCGAGAGGGCGGATGGTGAGGCCCGCAGGGAGCCAGGGCCTGTGGGGATCATCGCAGGCCTCAGCTCTCCGGTGCTCAGGGCACCCTCGGGACTCAAAAGAGCTAGAGCCGTGGTTCTCAACCTTCCTAATGCTGCAACCCTTCAATACAGTCCCTCAGGTTGTGCTGACCCCGACCATCAAATTATTCCGTTGCTACTTCATAACCGTGATTTTGCTACTGTTACAAATCGTAAACATCTCTGCTTTCCAGGCCGAGAGCCCCGAGCCTCTCCCCTAGTGACCGCCGCAGAGGCGGGAAAACTTGAATTTGCGACCAAGACTTGCAGAGGGTGCGTAACCGCCGCAGCACGGCGGCTCCGGCCGAACAGGGGCGCCGGAGCAGCCCTTCAGATCATCGCGGCAAGGGACCCGCCCGCACACCCCACCCCAGGACTCCGCCGCGACTAGGGCACCCCGGAGCTTCCAACCCCAAACAGCAGTCAGGAACGCGCCCGCGCATGCGCAAAAAAAAAAAACAACAAACCCCCAAACATCCCCACACCCTCCTGAGCCGCTGTCCAGGTGCGCTCGCGCTTCCGGCCTGCCTTCCCCGATTGCCTTCTCGGGGCGGAAACTCCACAGCCGGCGCATGCGTCCTCGTGCTCCCCTGCTCAATCCGGAGAGGCCCCACAGTTGCAGGTGATCCCGCCCCTCCCTCGCAACGCAGGACCAATCGCGAGCGTGTGGGCGGGGCTCTCGGGGCCACGGGGCCCGCCCACGCGCCGCGCGAGCCGCGCAGGCCGCCTGCCGATTGGCTGGCGCCGCGGGCGCAGGTGCGCGCTTCCTATTGGGTGTGGGCGGAGCGCGAGCGGCCGAGGCTGCTCGGAGGCTGCAGGTGAGCGCGCGCACGTGCCGCGGCTGCGGCCGTGCTTGCGTGCACGAGCGCCGGGCCGCGCGCGTGCCCGCGGGGGAGGCAGCCGAGGAGCCAGGCTGCGGCGGCTGTGGGGTTGTGCTCCGCCCTCTCCTCACCGCGGCCGCCGCCGCCGCCGCCGCCGCCCCCGAGCCTCCCTGGGAGGGACCCGTGTGTGTCCCCGCCTGCCGCACTGCCAGTCCGACCCTCGGGCCGCCGCGGAGCACTCGGCCCAGCGCAGCGCGGACCTCGGCAGGTGCGGTGACGAGGCGCCGCGCGGCGCTCCGAGTCCCGAGCCCGCGCGTCCGCGGCCCCGCTGCCCGCGCTCCCGAGGGCCGGCCCCCGACGAGGCGGCCGCCGGCCGGGTGCTCAGCATGAACCGCGGCCACCGGCACGGGGTGAGCAGCGGCTGCCTGGGCACCATGGAGGTGAAGAGCAAGGTGCGCGGCCGGGCGGGGCGGCGGGGACGCGGGGCGGCGGGATGGTGGACCCGGGCTGCCTCGGTGGACGGACGCGGGCCGAGGGCGATCTGCTGGACGGAGCACGTAGGAGAGAAACTTGGTGGAGAGCAGCGGCGGGGAGCGCTGGCGTCTGTTCCGCATCACAGCCTCTGTTTTCCATCTTTCGTATTCCCGCCTCGCTTTAAGGGTGGGATGGGGACCGCTCGAATGCTCGGTGATGAGATAGCTTTGGGGAAGCCCTTCACCCCGGGCATGAATCTAAGGCTCTCGGAGCACCTCGTTGTCTCCTCATGTCACCCCTTCTTGGGGTTCAGGGGCACATCGAATGGAGGCGAGCCTCTTTTTCCAGCTCTAACTTTGGTATGCATTTAATCTATTTAACTATGGCCTTTCTCTGGAGCAGCGCTTGACAGTTTGAGACGCTGCCGCTCTTTTCGTTCCGACCCTTCATGGCGAGTGCTTTCCCCCTTGGCGGGTCTGCCAGTCTGCTGATAGTGACTTCAGTGTCCGAGGAATTCCTCAGTCTCAAGGCCCGGTGAGCAGAGTAGCCTGTGGGGATTAGCTCGGGAATGCGTTCTTCCCAAGGGGGCTTTTTCAGATGGAATTTGAAGGTGATCTGCAGCCACCGGAACATGTAGGCAAGCTTCTCCTGACTTTGAAAGGCCAGAAGGAGCTGGGATCATACAGCCTGATTCTTTGAGAATTCTGAGATGACATGGTGACCAGCTTCTAAAGGGTGTGACTTCCCCCTCCCTCTGCTCTAGGACCAAGTCTTGCCGGATGGCTTTTTAACCGAACAACTTGTAGAACATTGGTCAGAGGGTGCTGACCCTGAGAATTTAGGATAGAATTGAGGTGGGACACAAGAGCGATGTACTGAACACCCATGGGGTGGTGGTTAAGGGACCCCTGGGGGACTGTCGGTTCCAGGAGTGGTTTGAGTGAAGGAAGGCTGCTGCGAGCCTTTGGGTGAGGTGTGGTGGTGGTGTCTGGGCTTGAGAGCGATGTTCTGTTAACTAATAATCACAGATTTTTTTTAAGTAATTATTTTATTTTTACGTGTGTTGGTACTTGGCCTGTGTGTATGTCTGTGTGAGGGAGTCATATCCACTGGAACTTGAGTTACAGACAGTTGTGAGCTGCTGTGTGGGTGTTGGGACTCAAACCCAGGTCCTTTGGAAGAGCAGCCATCTCTCCAGCCCAGAACCTGTACATTTAAAAATTTTTTCTATTTTATGTTTATGTCTGTACCACCTGCATGCCTGGTGCTCAAGGAAGCCAGGAGTCAGATCTCCTGGATCTGGAGTTTTAACTGTGAGCTACTTTTTGAGTGCTGGGAACCAAACCCAGAGCCTCTGGAAGAGCAGCCCATGCTTTTAACCACTAGGTCCAGGAGATCTGATAGTCTAGCTTCCCAGGGGCACCTATGTATGGCACATACACAAAGAACACATGTACACATTTTTTTTTTTTTTTTAGGATTTTGTTTTTTAGAATAAAACCGAGCTGGACATGGTGGCGCATGCCTTTAGTCCCAGCACTTGGGAGGCAGAAGCAGGTGGATCTCTGTGAGTTCGAGGCCAGCCTGGTCTGCAAAAAGAATAAAACTGTATGGTAGTTTAAGGATCATACTCTCCTAGGCTGGGCTCTCCATGGCATAACAACAAACTGAGGTGACTTGTCTGAATGGAAGGGTGACAGTAACTCCAGAAATGTACATCTTTCTCTAACCGTGTTGAGGCTGTCTGTGCAGGCCCAGCACATGAACTTTCTCCTGGCTTTTTTTTTTTTTTGGTAGTTTGGCTTGTGGGACTTGAGGTCGGAAAAGAAAACCACTTGTAATGTTGCATAATGCTAACACTCAGTTTTATGGTCCCATCTTGGTAGTGAGTCTTGAATTTTTTATCATAGGAAAAAACGAGTAGAGATTCTAGGTGTGCCAATAAATCAGGTAGGAGTGGGTCTCTGGGGGTAGGAAACTGAGTTTTTGGGGACTGGAATTTCAGGCTTTTTGTTTTTCTTTTCCGTCTACTGATTTTTTAATATTTTACATAGTTCTGTCCAAAATATGTGGTGTGTATTTCAGCTGCCGTCCTGCACTTCTAGAGAGCACCCTCTCCTAATGGGCAGCAAGGCAGTCAGAACAGATACTTGGTGAAATGCAGTCCCACTGTCCCACCTGTCAATAAACAAAAGCAAAGGTCTGTGGACCTTACGTTTGTCGTTTCTTGGTTTTTAAAAACAGAGTTTCTCTATGTAGCCCTGGCTGTCCTGGAACTCACTCTGCAGACCAGGCTGGCCTCAGACTCAAAGATCCAACTCCCTCTGCCTCATAAATTCTGGGATTTACTTCTGTATTTTTACCTTTAAAAAAGGGAAGAAAAAAAAGATCATGTGTGTGTGCACGTGAGTGCAGGTGCCTGTGGTGTCCAGAAGAGGGTGTTGGTTCCCCTGGAGCTGATGTGAGCTTGTGAGCCACCAGAAATACATGGGAACTAATCTGGGTCCTCTGCAGGAGCAGTTCATGCCCTTTTTTTGTTGCCGTTGTTGTGTTTTTTGAGACAGGGTCTCTCTACATAGCTCTGGTTGTTCTGGAACTCAGACTGGCCTTGAACTCACAGAGGTCTGCCTAACTCTGCTGGGTGTAAAGGCATGTGCCACTAGTTTTAGCGTAGCTCAGGTTTGTAAAAATAATTACATTTTATGCTATGCGAATGGTAAGAATTCATTCAATTATTACAGTTTGATCACTTACTTGGTGTGCATGAGTCAATGGGGATTCACCAGTACCATAGTATTAGTGTAGAGGTCAGAGGTCAACTTCGGGAGTGGTTCTCACCACCATGTGTGTCTTGGGTGTTGAATTCAGGTTGTCAGACATAGTGGCAAGCACTTTTATCTGCTGAGCCATTTTGCTGGTCCAATGTCAGTTTTATATCACAATTAAGAGATCATAACCAAAACTAGATAGTATGCAGGTCATGAGTAGAAGGCTTCTCCACAGAAACAACAGTGTCAGCCTGGCAGTTGTGGCGCGTGCCTTTAATCCCAGACAGAGGCAGGAGGATCTCTGAGTTTGAGAGGAGCCTGGTCTACAGAGCGAGTTCCAGGACAGCCAGGGCTACACCGAGAAACCCTGTCTGTCTTGAAAAAAGAAAAGAAAAGAAAAGAAAAGAAAAAAGAAAGAAAGAAACAGTAGTGTCAACTTTATCACCTTTACTCTGGAAAGGGAGACATGGTACAGATAATAAAAAATAATGGATAGTGTAAATATAGGTCTGGTTAGAAGTGTGATACCAGCAAGCGAGTAATTTCTTTGGTAACTGATTTATCTTCCTGATTGTTTCTCCAGAACTGGGAAAGTTCTCTGTAAACACAGTGATGTCCTTAGGTAACCTTGGTCCTGAGGGCGGGGGCTGTAGCTGTTGCCCTGGAGCTTGACTGGCATACTGGGGCCTGCTTGCATCTCCATCACAGCCAGTACACCTGCCCCAAACAGCCTTGGGACAGTCGTGAGACATACAACTTCCTAATTGCTATTCACAGGCAAATGAAATATTAGCAGTATTTCTCAAAGTACTTCATCTCAGCTCTCACTGCAAGTTCAAGGCCAGCTAAAGCCTTGAACTTTATTCATTCCCCTTCCCTCCAAAGAACCAAGTTCTAGAATATGCCAACAGATGCTGAGAAACAAGTCCATATACATCTGGATTCCAGGCAAACTGCTCCAGCCCCCACCCCCCCAAATTGCATGGTGAATAATTGTTGATTGGGTTACTTTGATCTCTAATTTTTCTTCATGTCCTAAAAAGTTTTTATAATCCTACTTTGCTGCAAGAGGTAACCCACGTCCACACCTCCTGCTTTGCCAACATTGGCTGGTGTGGGCACCTGCTGTTTTTAAATAAGTATTTAAGCCAGAGAAGACGTTGAGCGAAGAATTTACAAGCAGAAGCTTTGGGGAAACCTAAAGGGTTAAATCATTAGGTGTATTCCCATTCAGACTCCAGGGGAGGTGATAGCCTGGGGTGAGTCAGCCTGCACTGTGGACTGAGGCTGTGCTGGGAGACCAGCCTCCAGAATACTGAGGAGAAACTGCCTTTGATAATATCATAAGACTGACTGATAGGAAGGGTGTTCCTGGGTTTTATTTACTCTGAAATGTGTAGGTGTGACTAACTTTCTGAGAGCTTTAGATATGAGTCACCTGATTTTTCTTGACAAATGTTAGTGTTTCTATCTCAGGAATGTGTTTTGGAAAGTTTGAATTTGTTAGGAGTAAGAAGTGGCAGTGAATTTTGTTTTCATGTCAAACCACGAGTGGGTAGTGAATAATGTATGTAAGAGGAAGGTCAGCCATAAGTGGAGAAAAGACTGGATGGCTGGGGGTGCTGGGTCGGTGTTGGTCTTGGATGCCTGTTGGGATGAGGGCCTTTTTCTGCCTAGCACCTGCTGTTCCTGTGGAACATTCATGTTTCCTGGATATCCTAGGAATTTAGACAGAAAACAAGTCTGCCAGTCAAACATGTTTGGTGATGTTTATTTTACACATTTGTGTGTGTGTGTGTGTGTGTGTGTGTGTGTGTGTGTGTGGTTCTTGATAGAGAGCCTTGCACATGCTAAGTTCATACCTTACCATTGAGCTACGCCTCCAGCCTCAAATTAAAAAAAGTTAGCAGTAGGATTAACACACATACCAGGAGCCAAAGTTCCCCCCTCCTTTCCTCCCCCGCCCATTTATTGTTTTTAAGTGTTTTGCCTACATGTATGTATATGCACCACGTGTGTGTCTGGTGCCCTTGGAGGTCAGAAGGCATCAGATCCCCTGGAACTGGAGTTAGAGGTGGTTGTGAGCCACTCTGAGGGTGCTAGGAACTGAACCCCAATCCTCTGCAAGAGCAGCTAGTGCTCTCAACTGCTGAGCCATCTCTCCAGCTCCGCCCCTCGTATTTAACTAAACATTTAATATGCTGTATACCCAGTGACTCCTAAAGAGAGGGTTAAAATTATGTGATGGGCACTTTTTGAAGAAGGTTGAAGAACCTTTCTTAGGCTCCCCATTTAGGAGACACTTTAATGTGTGGCCTTAGGGGACCTGGAAAGTAAATGGGGGAATGACAGAGGGTGCTTCCTGCCTGTCCTGTGATCTCTAGCCTCCCTGAGGCGATCAGTCTCCTCACCCACTAATTGCTGAGCTTTTGAAGCAGGCCAGCCTCCTGGTCCCTGCAGCCCAGCACTGAGCCCAGTACAGGGACAGACGCACAGATGTGCTCCTTAGCCAGATGGAACAGGATTTAAAGGTGATGTGTTTGTTAATAAGCTTTTTTTTTTTTTTATAGTAACTTGGGGAAGATGCTTCTTTTCTGTCTTTAGACATATTTCTTACATGATGACATCATTTATTTCATGCCAAGAAGCTCAAAGTCCTTTTGCTACACTTAGATTTGACTCTGTGAAAAGATAATCCTGTGAAAAGATAATCCCTTTTATGAGGGGTGCTATGTGATGGTGGGAAGTTCAATCTGTGAATGTCTCTGGTGCCCTGGTCTGGGCTCCAGGCACAGTTGGAGCTGAATTGTCCTGGGAGGGCTGTCCTGGGAGACCTGGGAATCAGCAGCTGCTGGCAGGGGCACCCTGGAGGAGCAGCAGCCACATTCCTGTGTCTTTCTGTTCTCTGCTCCTGGCAGTGAGGTTCAGAGCAGGGTTTTCTCTGGCCTCAAAAATCACAGAGATCCTCCTGCCTCTGCCTCCCAAGTGGGACTAAAGGAATGCACCATCATGCCTGGCTGATGTTCTATTTTCTAATATGTTTGTTATATTTGTAGTTTGGAGCTGAGTTTCGTCGGTTTTCACTGGAAAGATCCAAACCCGGAAAATTTGAGGAGTTTTATGGACTTTTGCAACATGTTCACAAGATACCCAATGTTGACGTGCTGGTGGGCTACGCTGACATCCACGGGGACCTGCTGCCCATAAACAATGACGACAACTACCACAAAGCAGTTTCCACCGCCAACCCGCTGCTCAGGATTTTTATACAGAAGAAGGGTGAGTGCCTTTATGGAGTGCACATGTTCCCTCAAGGGTGAGCAGCTTTGCCTCTGACCTAGTGGATCTGCATCTTGAAAGGAGCTAAAGCATGGTGATATTGCGGGCTTAATTAATGTCCAAGCCTTCTCTGAGTGTACAGAAGAAAATCTGTGTTTTTAACCATTAACTCCAGAGAGAGAGAGAGAGAGAGAGACACTCCTGTGGAGGTCAGAGGACAGCTTGCAGAAGTCACTTTTTCCACAGACTTGGCAGCAGGTGGTGTTTTGACCTGCTGAACTGTCTTGCCACTGCCCTTCCTCTTAGAGTTTTTAAAATTATGTTTATTTTTAAATTGTGTGCATGTGTGTGCGTGCATGCACAGTTCTGCACACATGTGTACAGGTGTTCTCAGAAGCCAGAGGTATCAGATCCCCTGGAACTGGAGTTATACAGGCAGATGTGAGCCACTGTGTGGGTGCTGGGAATTGAACTCTTGACTTCTGAAAGAACAAGCCACTACTCTTAACCACTGATCCCATCTCTCCAGCCCCCTCTTAGTTTTGTTTTGTTTTGTTTTGCTTTTTTAAGTCAAATTAGGAGCTGTTCGGTGGTGATGGTGCACTCCTTTAATCCCAGCACTTGGGAGGCAGAGTCAGAAGAATATCTGGGTTCTTCTAGGACATCTAAGGCTACCCAGAGAAACCCTGTCTCAGGGGGAAACAATAACAGGTCAAATTAGGCATTTAGTAAGTCTTCATTCCATTGATGGATTGATGGGGAAGAGTGAATTTGGTAGCAGAGGCTCACCCACCTCCAAGAACTTCATTCACAGTCTCATAGACAGCGGAAGCAGGTTACTCACTCTCTCTCTGGTCCTCATTCTTTACGGTGTGGCTCTACTACCTGTAGCATCCCTACACAGACAAATTGAGGGAAGGGCAGCACCCAGCAAAACCTTCCATTTTAGAATATTTTTGAATTCACAAAAATAGTGTAAATATAAAACTAGCTGGGAAATGAGAAGGGAAGTGGTGACTTTGGGGGCTGTAAATATTGTCTCTCAGAAAATATATTGAGTCTTAAAACTTTTTTTCATTTGTTTATTTATTTATTTATTTTGGTTTTTTCGAGACAGGGTTTCTCTATGTAGTTTTGGTGGCTGTCCTGAATCTCCCTCTGTAAGACAAGCTGGCCTCAAACTCACAGAGATCCTCCTGGCTCTGCCTCCCGAGTGCTGGGATTAAAGGCGAGCGCCACCACCGCCCGGTATCTTAAAACTTTTTTAGACTGACCCTGCCCCGTGTGTGAGGCAAGGAGGCAGAGACACAGAGAGATCGCAGACGGGAAGGATGGACAGTCCTATCCTATTGGCCACTAGCTCCTTCCTCTTTGGTAAATGAAAGATTTGAAAAGCCCACTTACGAGCTTTGAGTGGTGTAGGATAAAGACCTTGCAGTTTCAGGCCAACCCAGAAAGGATCGTGAAAGGGAGGATGGTGAGCATCAAATCGCTCCCAGGGCTCTGACATGCCCACGGCCTGGCTACTTGGCTTCTCTGAGTTTGGAGAGGCTGAAGTCTGTCGGTCCCATCTGCTGAGGGGCTGCAGTCTGTCCTGAGAGAGTTGGTGTTAATGCTCCCAAGTGCCTATAGGTAGGTGGAAGGCTCCGCAGTGGGCATGCTGTGGGCAGAGACTGACTGCATGAGACCCCGGTGTCTGCTTGCAAGGATCGGTGTGTAGAGAGCAGGAGCAGGAGCAGGTGGCAGAGAGGTGAGATGAGGAATGGCCGACAGTGAGGATACTGCAGAACGCAGCTGTGGTGTTGAACGCGACACCCAGGGCGTTGTCAGAGTCCCGGCAGACAGGTGGGACTGCAGGGAAAATAATGAGTTCAGTTCCTCTAGGCTTAACAAATTATCTCAGCAGGCTTCGGAATTGACCACACCATGCAGATTAGAAATGACAGGCGGGGGGTGAGGATGGGAATCTAGGGATCTGTATCCCAGAAACGTGACAGTTGTATTCGGTGGCTCATGCCTGTAATCTCAGCACAACAGCCCAAGGAAGGCAGAGTACTGTGAGTTTGAGGCTAGCCTGGGCTCCATAACAAGACCCTGATTGAAAAAGACAAAGCAACTAAAAGCTGTAAGAGCAGCTGGACTGGAGAGCAGGGTGGACCTTGAAGCCAGAGGTGGCATGGGGCGTGCGGGCAGGCAGAGCAGGGCAGGGTGTTTGATGGGACTCATCTTTTTTTTTTTTGTTTTTGTTTTTTTTTTTGTTTTTTTTTGTTTTTGTTTTTTTTTTGTTTTTTCGAGACAGGGTTTCTCTGTGTAGCTTTGCGCCTTTCCTGGAACTCGCTTGGGAGACCAGGCTGGCCTCGAACTCACAGAGATCCGCCTGGCTCTGCCTCCCGAGTGCTGGGATTAAAGGCGTGCGCCACCACCGCCCGGCTTTTTTTTTTTGTTTTTTGAGACAGGGTTTCTCTGTGTAGCTTTGTGCCTTTCCTGGAACTCACTTTGGAGATCAGGCTGGCCTCAAACTCACAGAGATCCGCCTGGCTCTGCCTCCCGAGTGCTGGGATTAAAGGCGTGCGCCGCCGCCGCCGCCGCCGCCGCCGCCGCCGCCGCCGCCGCCGCCGCCGCCGCCGCCGCCGCCGCCGCCGCCGCCGCCGCCGCCGCCGCCACCACCGCCGCCACCACCACCCGGCGGGACTCATCATTTTAAGCAGATAATAACCTTCTCTTATTAGCAGTTATATATGTGTAAGTATGTACATGTTTTACATTCGTTTGTTGTGTGACGGGAGAGGGACATGCATGCCACAGCATGCTTGTGAAGGTCAAAGGCAACAAGGAAATTATTTCCTTATACCATGTGGTTCTGGGACTTAACACAAAGAGACAGAGACACAGAGAGAGACAGGCTTGGCAGCAAACATCCTTACCAGGTGAATCGTGTCCCCTCCCTCCCCTTGTTCCCTGTCTTTGAGACAGGGTCTTTCTTACTCTGTAGCCCAGGCTGGCCTTAAGTTTACATCAGTTCTCCTGCCCCAGCTTTCCGAGGTCAGGGATTACCTGTGACCCACAGTGTTGACTGGCATTGCTTTTTAAGCTGCATCCCCTACAGCATGTAGCTAGGGTCTCAACCTGGCTGCCGGTGTGGTTACTGGAATTATTTCATTATTTTACATTTGTCCACTGGGTTTTGTCTTGGTTTTCATTTGCTTTTTGTTTTGAGACTCATTGTATATTCCACGCTGTAGCCCAAGATGTCCTCAGTTGTGGCTTGGTCCTACCCCAGCCTTCCGAGTACTGAGTTACAGGTGTGTACCACCACAGCCAACTTTGTAGATGTCAAGGTTTGGAAGTTTGTTTATATGTAGATAAAGGTTTTCTATGTGATGAAAGTAGAATGTCCAGTAAAACTAATAGCCTTTGAATTTAATATGGGGGACCAACAAGATGCCTCAGTGGGGACAAGTGATTGCCACCAAGCGTGACAATCCCTAGGAACCACAGGGTAGAAAGAGAGAACAAAAGTCCTTTGACCTCCACTTCTGCACCATTATCCACCCCACCCACACACACAGGTACACACAAAACTAAATACAGAATTTTAAATAATTATATTGTTTTGTTGTTGCTGTTTGGTTTGGTTTTGGTTTGGTTTAGTTTGCTTTGGTTTGGTTTTTTGAGACAGGGTTTCTCTGTATAGCCTTGGCACTGTCCTGGACCTCACTCTGTAGATCAGGCTGGCCTTGAACTCACAGAGATTCACTTGCTTCCGCCTCCCAGGTGCTGAGATTAAGGGCTTGCACCACCACTGCTGGCAGACGGTTAGATTTAAAGATAAGACTCTGGACCAGTGAGATGGCTCTGGATCAGGATCAGGGCTCTTGCCCCAAGCCTGACAACCAGGGTTTTTCTGTCCCCAGGGTACACCCACCCGGTAGAAGGAGAGAACCCGGGTCTGAAGTTTGCTCTCTTACCTCCTCATGTGTGCTGTGGCATGTGTGCACACTCACAAAGCAAATAAATAAGTGGAATATAAATAGATGTATTATATATTTGTTGGTTTGATTTTGTGTATACATATATAAATTTAAGTCACACATGGTGGATGACCTTTGTAATCACAACACTCAGGAGGTAGAGGCAGGAGGATTGAGACTTAGTTGATGGGTACCCTGAACTACATACTTCCAGGTCAGCCTCAAGTGCATAGTGAGAGCCAGTGAGATGGCTCAGTGGGAAGGGTGCTTACCACTAAGACCGGTGACCTCAGTCTGACCCCCAGTGCCCAACATGTTGGAAGAAGGTGAGCTACTCCTGAGAGTTGTCCTCTGGCCTCCTGCACATGAGCTCCATGGCACACACTCACACACACATAATTCTTAAAGTGTGTGCAAATGTAGCATATGCATACATATCTTGAATACAATATGGCTTTAGTGAAAATTGGAAGGAGGTCAACCTATTAACTACTGCTTGAGACTTCCTGCAATGGTGTCCATTGCAGCTAAGAGTCCTGGGTGAACAAGTGCAGCCTGACCTTCCTGCATGAGTACCCTACGAGTCACACCCAGCCTGCCTCAGTGCCTCGGTCTGTCCTGTGAACTGGGAGCTCCCTGCTTTCTGCTCTGGCTTTGCCGGAGGGTCTCTTGGGACCTCTCTGACCAGTTTGCCTTGCAGATCCAGGCATATCTTGCTTAGGCCTAGACTACCTGGTCTCATGTGCTGTTGATCACCAGGTCCCAGCATCTGAGGCAGAGATGTGATTCTGGTTTGGATTGAATGATTTTTAAACAAAACAGACAAGCCCAAGCAGGAAGTGGCCCTTGGCAGAGCCAGCGGAGCCTGGGTGAAGGCTGGTGGTGTCTCCCTGTTAGAACTACCGCAGTCTGTTTTCTGCTTTGTTGTTTTCTTTTTCTTCCAAGGCTGGCTGGCCTGGAACTTGCTAACTTGCTACATAGACCAGGCTGATCTTGAACTCAGAGACCTGTCTGCCTCTGCCTCCTGTG